CAGCGCAAAATCGCAAAACGAAAACAATAGTCCTTCAGGGACAAAGCCCCTTTGAATTAATAATAATAAATGAAGGTAAGTAAAAACTGTATGGGGGAAAAAAATATTACTCGCTTATTTTCATATTTAATAAAAATCACTTTGCTCATTATTATGCTTAAAGTTTAGAACCTCTAACATATGGTAACATACATCGAAGCGTTGCAACCACGGCTCACGCTAGGTATTTTGTCTACCGGAAAACTTCGGAGGCTTATAAATTTTGCTGTCCGATGCATTATTAAATTTTAAAACATTTGCCCCTTCTAAATACCGATGCCCAGTGTATTATGCAAATTTAAAAATTTTTGCCATCCCTAAATTTTGCTGCTCAGTATTTTTCTAAAATTCTAACAATTTTCCCTGCCTTTTAATTCTGCCGCTCCTGCTGTGACGTCAGCCCTGGTTTCAACTAGTATCAGTTTAAAGCTTACGATTATTCAAAATTCTTGTAAAACGTTTATTATTCTACTATTTCCGATAATAAAAACGCTTCTATGTTTATAACGTTAATATCAATCTTCTGCTGTCAAAACTCTGTCATTAAAACACGTATTACATATATAACTTTCAATACAATATTGATATGCTTCTATTAAAACTAATCTTCATTAAATGTTAAAGTACATTAAATCATTAAAATTTTGAAACTTATTTTAACGTTTCTGTTCAATTTACTGTGTTATGGATATTGGATTCTAAAATAAAAATCAAAGAAATAAAAATCTGAAAGGTTTCAGATTTTTAATTAAGTCCAAAGGTGCGTTTTTTTTTTTTTAACGTTTTGTGTGTTACCTTTATTTATTTATTTATTTATCATGTTCTCTGCACTTAAACCATTTCAACAGCAATGTCGCAAAGTAATTTTAAAATGAGCACATCTTTAGAATTTCCGATACACAGTTCGGCGCGTTGAAGATAAAAAGGTCCCCTTCCCTCCATAGAGTGTTGCCAGTGTTCGCTTTTAAATCCCCGAGTTTGTTAATCAAAAATTCATCAAAGTTTTACAAAATATGAAATCGATAATAAAACAAATTCCAAATTTCAAATTTGGGCTTTCAGATGCCCATATTCGCAGTAGGATTACGTCATTCAAAATTCGATGACTCTAGGTACCGTTTCTTACAGAGCCCTGTTGACTCTTAGAATATTTCTCGATACCAAGGCCCCTTTTCCATGTTGAAGACTAGAAACTGTCATTTCGAAGACTCTATATCGAGGATAGCTCAGTAAACTTCAGTATTGATTTCAAGTTTGCATTTGTTACTATCCAGGTTGCTGGATCCCATAACCAAATTTGTCCAACCTTGTCTGACAGCAGAATTAAAGGTTGCAATAGAGTCAAAGTCATTAAACAAAATTAAATCATTAGCTACTGTAAAATCAAATACCAACGTTCCTCTTGGATCAACCAATTTGCCCCCCCCAACTAAAATGTTTTGAATTAAAATCACCCACAATTAAAAACCTTTCATATATAGTTAAAACATTTTCCAATTTATGGAGATTCACAGCAATGTCCTCTGCAGAAGAGAAGTATCCCAACATGAAACTCAACTGCTCATCTTCCATTAATACAGAAATACCTGTTCTATCATCCATTTCATAATCCACTATAAAATCAATTTCCTCTTAGGGCTCCTAGTAAGATCAGATCAGGACTAACACCAATAACATTTTGGAGAACAGAGAGCTGAGTAGCAGCTAAGGTACAGTGTTTTAGGTTGATACTTAAAATAATCATACAAATAAATTTATATAATAAAATCATTTGAAAATAAAACAAATATACACATAAATGAAAACAAATCTAATACATAATAAAACAATCTGCTAAAATCTAATTATATAAAATACTAGAACCAATGTGTACATACATGCTAAAATTCATTAAAATTATTATATCATACTAGTCATTCTTTAAAAATTAAAGTCTACGTGACCTCTAATAAATTCAATTTCTCTCTTTAAAGAGGAACAGCTCTTATCAAATACACTGCGATCATGTTTCAATTCTATACCATACTTCTGATTAGAAATCAAAGAGTTAACACATTTTCTACCTTTATCTTTACTCTTACAAACAGTCGCAAGATGATTTAAAGCACATTCAGCACAATGGACTTGATCTTTACAAAATCTCTTAAAGTTACCATATGCCAAGCATTGTGTACACTGTCTGGGTCTCAAAAATAATCTCGTAGAGAAAGTACGCCGTCCAATTGCCAGACGCTGCTCTTCCAATATTTCTCTTTTACAAACAGAATTAACAGAAAAAAACACATATTAAAACAGAAACATATTAAAAGTTTTCGAAAAGACTACGTTAAACACTCTGAAACAATCAGCAACACAGCCATCCAGATTTCTCTTAATTAAGCCCTTTGTATGCATTGTTATGAAATGCTCAGATGCGGTAACATAGCTTCCCCGCAAAGCAGGTTGCCAGAAAATGTCAAGAAGAGGTAGGGCAAAGAGAGCTATCAGGTTATAACGGAGAAAACACCTTCACGGCAAAGCACTAAACTACAGTTCTCGACTTGGTCGATCGCTCTCGGAGCTCAAGACACTGCTACTGAACTCAACTTACTCTAGATACTCTCCACGATATGATTGCACTGCTACCAAGAAGGGTTTATATAGCTTTTGACATGCCCTCAAGAACATTCTGGGGCAAATTGGTAAGAATTCATTCCAGAATGTTCTTGCTCCATCTGTAGCATATCGCCAATTTTGTTACAAAATGCGCAATTTCACACTAAATCTGGTAACTCTTCCTCTCCTTGACATTTTCTGGCAACCCTAAATCCACTTTGCGGGGAAGGTATCTTACCGCAGCTGGCATTTTGTAACAATATATATAAAGGACTTAATTACGAGAAATTTAGACAGATAGAATTTTTTGTTGTTCTTTGATATTTATGCCTTTTTATGAAAGAAAACTACGATTATGACAGTCCCGTTTTAGCAGCAATATAGGCCTCTGGGGTAAACCAGTCTGCTGGGACCCTTATGACAACTACTCAAAGAAATGAAATTATTTTTCTTTAGGCTCATGTGAGAAATCTCAGAATTTTCAACAAGAACTATGTAGTACTTATATGTACACAATCATTAAAGAGGTCAAAATAACTCAAGTCTTTCTTATGCATATTAGCCAGAGATTCACATGTTTTTAGTGGATAACAAGTAATGCATTTCAATTTAGCAAAGAAAGAAAACCGATTTCCAATCTGTTCATAAGCCTCTTGACATTTTGTCAGTTCAAAGTTTAGAGTGTCAGGAAAGAAAGGAGAAAAGTTCAAATCATGAAACTTCCAGTTTTGCTGAGAAGAACTTCTTCAGCTAATTTATCATATCTATAAAGAAGCACACTTTAATGCCCTTTTCATTTTCCCCCATTACTGTAATTTGTATCTGGACACAACGTAGCATCGGAAAAGTATAATCTATGGCAGAAAAGAGTTTAAAACTAGGTAATATTTTTAGTGAAAGTTGAGCAATAATGCATAACTTTTGATATTGCATATATCGGCATCATTTTTGAATTTGTAAAAAATAGTTTACAATCTGAAACAAAGGGAAATAGAATTTTGGTTTTATATTATACAAAATTAATTTAAATATCAAATATATTTTTATTAATGTTAAGTCAACTGTTATATACTACTGTACACACAGCAACATAGAGCCCTTATGCTCTTGAGTCCTCGGGCAAGTGTCCAGTAGCCCCATGTGTTAAGAAGGAGCTACTGAATGATTTGAAGATCCCTAAAAGCTAAGACCTGGTGGTATCAGACCCTATATATAAACGTTTCTGTGTTACATCACACACATAATGTTATACAGCAGAGATGGTAATGCCAGAATTACGGAATTCGGTACGCCTATTTTTCAAAAGACTTATGTATACCTCCGATAGACTTTTTTTAAAAAGAAATTATATTCAGATCTTTTAAGAATTGTTCACTTATAGCCTTTTGAATTAATCAACACAGAATTTCACTTTTGCAAATCTTACAAGTAATTTACCGATTTAATGTAGTTTTTTTCCAAAATCAGTCAAGTTTTTTTTAATTTTATATGTCCAATACGTTTAAATTTCAATATTAAAAAATCAGTAGTTTGCAACAGTTTGTAATTTTCATAGATCTACGGGAATTTTGCTCTTTAATGGGAATAATTAAAAAATTACTAATTGGACAATTTTCTGTACTTTTTAATGCTGTGTATAGGGAATTTCATTACATTCCAATACAGAAATTTTTCTCATCTTCAGCTAACTCTTCCCCCCCGGGACTAAAATTACTTTTCTAATACTCTGTGTTTTCTGAAAATAGTTCCCCCTGCAAAGACTTAGATATTGTTAGTTTACTCACATAATTTCATTAAATTGTGAAAAACAGTTTATTATTGGCAGTCTGACACTTGCTATGTGTTACTATTTGTGATTACCCACAATTTTTCAATCTGAGGAATAGTTTGCAACCTCCAATTAAACTAAATGCAAAAACTCTCAAAGGCATATTGTAATATAACAGAAAACCTTCAATATGATCCCAACTGGAAGTTGTATAACATAAATGCTTGTTTAAATAATTACGGCAAACATGCAAATAGCCATCCCTCCCCAATCATTCCAATCTAGTTGAAACTACTACTGTTCCACGGATGTCAACTAAGCCTTTCATAGGCAATGTAAAGTGCAAAAGATATACTTTTCAAGTTATAGTTTCATTTTCTATCACAACATATATTTATTACTTCAAATGACGAGAAAAATTCTTTTGATGTACAGGAAAATCTCCTTGTTCTTTTGTTGTTTTCTTCTCCCTCTCTTTATTTGAAAAGTTTTGCTTTAATTTAAAAAAAAAAAAAAAAAAAAAAAAAAAAAATTGCAAAAGATAAATGGAAACTGGAAACTAAAAATAACATAAAACAAAAAAAAAAAAAAAAAAATATATAAATCAGAATATATTTATTTAAATTTTTAAAAACATTAAAATCTTATGTTTACAATGCACACACAAAATAATATTAACAATTTATTTAGCAGGTAAAGTTATGCCTATAAGATATAAATGTATTTAACTCTGCACATGATCTTTCATTTATTACATGCACACTTTTAGGTAAATTTTTGGTAAGATCTCCACAATCATTTTCAAAAGATATAAAAAATCACATAGTTACAAAAAATAAGAGCATTCACATTGAATAATTATAAATTCTTCACTCAGTTATGTCAAGAAATATAACTATGATATCAAAATATTACAAATTAATTGTTAATCATATACATACATATTCAACATAATCTCTTTCTTGATCTCTGCAACCTGCTCATAAATATATTAGCTTTATAACATATAAGATTATATGATTTTATAATGACTAGTAAATAAAGACATTTAATATGTATATTTGTCACAAAATTTAGCTTTTTATCTTTAAATTAGATAAGTGATGTAAGCACAATTTCACATCTTCCCATAGAAATGATAATTATTATTTGTGATTTCAATATTAATTTTCAAATACTAATTCTAAATTTCAACTTTAGGAAAAAAAAATATGTTTCTTACATCTGTACATGGTGACAGAACTTTGAACAGAAATTTAAATAGTCTGTGTAGTTACATATTGTGAAATTTCAAATAATGAACAATTAAAAAAAAAATTCAACTTGTTTGAGCTAAATGAATTATACACCTGACTATAACAAGCAGTACAAAATAAACTAACTTGAATTTTTTATAATGAGTCTACGAAATCTATTGTGAATTTAGTTGAATATATCAGATTGTTTCATTTGGTCAAATAATAGTATTAGTAGAAATTTTTTCCCTCACATATATAGGCTAGACCACATAAATATAGAGAGTATGATACATTTTATAAAGTAGCTCCTTGAAAGGTATTAAAACGACTTTTAAGAGATGTGTATGTGGACATACGAAGATTTTTCTGAATGCACTGCACCATTTTTAAGCAGGAAATCTGTCAACAACTGGCACAAGAAATTAAAAATACTATTATACTAAACTGTTTCTAAATAGATAAAACATATAAATATTTAATCTCTAAAAGTCTCAGATATCACTAAATGTCCTTAACTTTAGCCACAGTCAAAATAATAGCAAAGTAAACAAGCATTATGCATATTATTATATGAAATGAGTTTGAATAAAAACAATGTAAAAAAGACATAACAGTTAATTTATAAAAAATATTAAAAAAATTATAATGTATAATTATATGTAATTATATTATAATTATATAATTATAATTATATGTCATTGTTTTAAAACAATAGGTACAAATTTTGAAAACTATTCTTATTTCTATGAGTATAAAAAAAATTTTCAGACCCATAATTCATGATTTTTGATCTGATACGGCTATGTGATGGTTTTTTTGAGGTAAAATGCATATATAATTATTATATATAAGTAAATATATATATATAAGTAAAATCAAATGTTTACATATATTAAATAAATTACATATATATAAAAGAATTTTTTTAAACTTTACAATGATAATAACAGAGATAATAATGATCACAACTAAAAGGTCAAATATAATAAAAATATACACTTTCTCAATGTCTAAAAGCAAGAACACTTTAAAATAGCACTGAGTAAATTTAACAATAACTGCATTCAATGATATGAATTTTCAATGATATGTCTATCACTTCCTTATTTCATGTGTTAATTATTTGGGCAGTTATTTTTGCTATGGCCAAATTTTCCACACAATTCACACTCTTCATCAGAAATAAATTTCCCAGTCAAGTTCATGCTGGCAAAATAATAAGCCTAAAAAAGGAAATCAATCATTTAAATTATCTTTAAATGTATATACTAGAAACTTTTTAATATTAAACTGTAAAGGATTAAAAAAAGATATATTAATGTATTTAAATAACTTTTAAAATTAAAATCACTTGCACATAAGCTTATGAAAAGTATATAAATATCTGTATAACAAAATACACAATTGACAGGCTTAAATTATTACAATTTGATTGCCCGAATCTTTGCTTTCATGTTTTCAAAAGCATTCAAAAACATATTTATATTCAATATGGCAGATAAATAATGCTTTCTTTTAAAAACCCTGAAAATGATACATTTTCATGATTACTTTGCATTTTTAAAAAGCATTAGTCATTTGGCTAAGCAAGAGATTTTTATTGCTGACAATTAAGCAGATGACTTTCAGTGCTGCATTTTACATTATAAAATCAAAAACTGTTGATCTAAATTTCCTGCATTGAAAAAAAAAAAAAAAAAAAAAAAAAACCTCATACTGGTTAATATGCATATATTAATATATGACCCAAAATAACAACTAGCTCCCTATTGTAGGGTTTAATGCAGATGTTAAGTACTGTAGCAAATAAAAAAAATTGGTCATTAATTAGTGAAATATATATGTTTAACTATTCCTGGCCAATGTTGAAGATAAATCTTAACACATATTTTCTAGTGCAATTTTTAACAGCATGAAAATTCAGTTAACAATAGCAGTTTAGTAATGCCAGACTTCTAAAACACAGTTTAAATAGTCAAAGTTATTTATTTTCACTTCTGAACTTCAAATGATATATTATACCTACAAAATAAAAAGCTTAATAATGAAGAGCACAAAGAGAATATAAAAAGACTACATATAGCTAGCAAATGTCGGGAAAAATTAAATTATTTCACCAGATTCAATTTCTGCAGATAAAAACAATTTTATTACTGTTAAATTTATCTAAAAACTAAATGTTTCTAAAAGCCATTAATGCATACATTTAGAGTTAATAAAATGAATAGGTTTTTTATTTTAGATTAAAAATTATTTAAAAGTGACATTAATAAAATTAACCAAAGAAGAAAACAAAGGGCATAAATATCGTTCAAATCGAGCATTTAAAAGCACTTCCAAACATAAAAATTTGAACATAAAACACAATTAATGAAAAGGTTGTTCCCATAAATAAAATAAATGATCGATTCACATGCATTCATTATACAGCAAAACATACTTTCAAATCTTTAACAGAACTGGGAATTTCTTTTCCAAATAAAGATCTTGCTCTATTCAGTGTTGCCCAAATAGTTGAAGCTTCTGAAAATACACACCAAAATGGCACAAAATAAATTTCAAATATAGAAACAACTATTTAATGATGAAAAATAAATTTTGGCAAAATGCAATGAAAAAATCTAACAAAAGAGTTGAAACTGGTACGTTACAGTATGAACTGAAGTACAATATAAAGAATTCTAGGAGATCTTAATGTAGATAAATGAACAATAGTGTAAATATAGCTAGCATTTTTGGAATATTGAAGTGTTTAAAAGCAAATTACAGCAGCAAAATGATTCTGAAATACTGAAATCTTTAACAATAGGAAAATTTTTTTTAATAGGTGGTTGTTATATAGACTTGTTTTTTAATCAAAGCAACTAGCAAAAAATTCAAATTCTCAAAAAAATTGTCAAGTTAAAACTGGTTGTGACATGTTTGAAATGGAAAGGAAATACAACAAACATTTGATACTCCAGCATGCATACCATCTATGGGCACTATAAGCATGTCATTCGACAACATTTAAGCTCAGCAACTTAAAGTTATCGAAGTTTTCAGATCATAAATCCATGCTGAATTCAGCAACTTGAAACAGGATTGCTGCTACAGTTGATGAACTAACTTCAAGCTGCATGACCACCACTTTTAGATCAAACATAAAATAACAAACAAAACAATTTTAAAATAATGAAACAGATTATATAATGTCACACCAAGAACACAAAACTCTGCAGAGAGTTTTCTCTCAAAATTTAAAACAGCTTAAAAGAAAACATTTTTAAAAGAAAAGCACCATCGTAATCAGCAAAATTTATTAAAATAAAAAAATTATAACTTTAATGGGTACAACTCTGATATACGCCCTAATTTCACCAAATGCGGCGATATGTGTTCTGCACTGGTCTTTGGCGTGATTGCGTGTTGTATGGCAACCCTGTTGACGTTGAAAAATCTTTTGGTGGAGTAGTTTAATTGCTGGTTGGTTCGTGTCGTGTGTGTTTTTGTAATGGCCTATGTTGCGATGAAAGACGTGGTGGGAAGGTTTCAGTCACATATTTTAGATTGTGTGCAGAGTAAATTCAGTATGAAAAGGTACAATGTTGGAGTTGTTAACAAAGTCTTTTGTTCACGGATTGTTCACAATTGTATGGAGGATCGGTAGTGTATTTTTGGAATTTCTGTGGGAGTCGGGACTTTTAAAACAGAGTTTGAAATGTTCGAAATGCGGAGCTGATATGAGAACTCGGACGAAGAATGGTGTTTCTGATAGACTTGTGTGGATTTGCAGTCAAATTGTTGCTGGTAAAGTATGTGGGTGTCAGCGGAGTTTAAGGTTTGGATCTTGGTTTTCGTGTAGCAAGTTAACATTGGAGGAAGTTTTTATTGTTACTTTCGAAATTTTGAATTGTAGGCGACTGGCCAAATTTTATTAACGAATGTATTTTGGACTTTGTATGCTCTGTATCTGAGAAGATAGGGGGGAAAGGTAAAGTGGTGGAAGTTGATGAATCGAAATTCGGCAAAAGGAAATATCATCGTGGCCATCCTGTTGAGGGGCAGTGGGTATTTGGAGGTGTGGAAAGAGGGTCTGGGAAGATTATTTTTAGTAGCTGTGCATTAGAGAAGTAAGGAAACGCTGATGCAGTGTATTAAAGAGTGGATTGAGCCTGGTACAACTATTTTTTCGGATGCCTGGAAATCCTACAAGGATTTGAGAAAAGAAGATTTTCAACATTTATTTGTGAACCATAGTATAAATTTTGTGGATAGTGAGTCTGGCTGTCATATAAATAGTATAGAGAGTGCATGGCGGCATGTTAAAGCTATGTTGCCTACTTATGATAGGAAATGTGATTTTCAGTTTTATTTGGCTGTGTATATGTTTTTTCATTACTGTCATGAAACTGGAGAAGATGCTTTTAACAAATTTCTAGAAATTGTAAGAACTGTTGAATGGGAGAAATTAAAAATTTCTTTGTAGTGTATTTGCAGAAAGTGTTCGTGTTCTTTGTCTTTGTGATGTTTGAAATTGATATTTCTGCCTTCAAAAGAAGCTTTCATTATGGTAAGTGCATTTTATTTTATTGTTTTTATTTTGTAGAATGTTATGTTCATTGTTTTTTGTATTAATTTCCATTTTTATTGTTGTTTTTTGAATTGTTTGAAATTTATTTTAGTTTATTTTTGTTGATTATTTTTTAGTCTAGATTGTGCAATTCGTAGATGTTTTTTTAAGTTGAAACAGAACGTTGTGTACATGGTATTCTTTGAAATTTATTGTTGTTATGTTAATTTATTAAAGCGAGGTGTGCACAGTTCGTAGATTCGTTGGTTGCCTAGAGTGTGCAATTTGTAGATGTTTTTTTAAGTTTAAACAGGATGCTGTGTACATCGCATTCTTTGAAATTTATTGTATTTATGTTAATTTATTAAAGCAAGGTGTGTGTAGTTCGTAGATTCGTTTGTTGCCTACATTGTGCCATTCGTAGATGTCTTTTTAAGTTAAAACATGTCGCTGTGTACATGGATTCTTGTCAAATATTTTTGGTTAGAAACTTTATGTTTTTGCTATCTAATTTTTTTGTTTTTGTTTCGGATTTTTAGCTTAAATTGTGTGTTCAAAACGTAGTTTTTGCATATGCGAAAACTGCGTTTTTGGAGACATTTTAAGCTTAAAGTTCGAAATGTAGCCAAAAAATTTAGATAGTAATATGGCGGCATGAAGTTTCTCGCCAAAACTGTTTGGCGACTTGAGGGCGCATATTAGAGTAGTTCCCTTTAATGCAGCTTATCCTAAAAATATCTCACATTTCCATTATGGCTCTTTTTCATAGAAATAAAGGATAAATATCAGATTCATTACGTTATTTAATACAGGGTGTCCCACACAAAAGAGGCCTCACAAACATTTGCTTAATTTACACTTAAATTACACTTAAAGCCTTTGCATAAGAATCAGGAATTAAAATACACTGCACTCCACAACAACCCTGCATCACTGTGGCTTGAGTTCAGTATTCAGTGTTTTGTGTTCAGTGATAATGTATCATTATTCTGTTGAAGAGCAAGTATTTATTGTAAAACAAAATTGGATTATTGGTTCCATTAAGACATGTCAGCGAATGTTTGTTGAATGGGTTGGTGACCCACTTATACTGTCCAAATGCTGAATACAAACGTAAGTGAACACGTTTGACAGCAGTGGAACGGTGTTGGATCTTCATGGCGGGGAATAGTCGCAATTATCGGAAGAAAAAGTTACTGACGTGAAACAGCATTTGCTGGCTCCTCCTGCAAAGTCTGTTTGACATTTATCACAGGAATGTGGAATGTCATGGTGGACATGTCATCACACAGTTGCGAGGAAAGCTGGTATGTATCCATACAAGTTTACAGTTGTTCAGGAACTGCAAGTCAATGACAAACACATTATATTTTGCCATTGGTTTCAGAAATTTATTGCTCATAGGCCAAGAATAATGCAGTACATATGGTTCATTGATGAGGCATGATTCCACCTGTCTCATTATGTAAACTCTCAGAATACACGTTTGTGGTATAATGAAAATCTACATGCACTACTTAAGCTACCGCTGCATTCACAAAAGATTGGTGTGTTCTGTGCAATATTACAGCGTTGCATCATCAGACCAATTTTTTTTTTTTTTTTTTTTCATCTACTGTGACAAGTGCAGTTTACATCAAACTGTTTCGAGAATTTGTGAACGAGTTGGACGATGAAGAACTTACCCTCGGCTGGTACCAACAGGATGGCACCACACACACATCTCGAATGTCCATGGCTGAGATCGAATCCTTTTTCCCTGGCAGAGCGATTTCGAAAGGACTGTGGGGCCCCAAGGTCATCTGATTTAACACCACCTGACTTTTTTTTCTGGGGTCATCTAAAAGGCAAGGCATACAGAAACGTACCTCAAAACTTGAAAGATTTAGAACCATTCTTGGAGAACACAAATTCGTGAAATCCAGTCAGTGATACATGAGGTTCTGGTAGCAACATTCGAGAATCTGCAGTGTAGTGTTCAACTGTGTTTACAAGCTGAGGGCTATCACTTCCAGTATCTTTTGTGACTCACCTTTTTATTTTCCCATGAACAAAGTATGACATGTTCATTTTACTTATTTTTTTTCCTGATTCTTATGCAAAGATTTTAAGTGTACGTGTAGTTTAAATGTAAATTAAGCAAATGTTTGTGGGGCCTCTTTTGAGTGGAACACACGATAATTAAAATGATTTTAAAATGCTAAACTGTCTAAATGTATAGCATATGAATATGTAAAAGAACTAGATAATCTAAATTGCATACTTTTTTGGAGCATAGGGGAGTTAAAATTGAGAAAATTTAAAAGAGTTAAAAGATACATAAAAGGATAAAACTTACTGTTTTCGGATACAATACAGCCTAAATTTTTATAAAGGAATGGATCTATGAAAATACAAGGGAAAGAAAATATTTTAATAAAATATATATGCTTTTTTATTTATAGAAGTTTAATTATCAATAAACACACAATGAAAAATATTAAACAAAATGGAATAGTGAATATATACCTTATAATTTAAACGTAATGTCTGATGTACAATATAATATATTCAACGCATGCATGATTGATTAGAGCACTCACTCAAAATAGTTACGTTGTCATTAATAATCCAAAAAAAATTAATTGCAATATTTATAATTCTGGAAAAGTCCATACCAAATCTGGAAAAGTCCATATCAAATCAAAGTCAATACCATCCAAAATGCATATGCAGGTACACAAATTGAGAAATCATTATTTACTAGTAGGACAAAATGTGTTTTAATAGTAAAAATAGTTAAATAATAAAACAAAGACAATAGTTAAATGTGTTAATGTTAATAAAACAATTTTATAAAAGAACACAAACTGTAAGAAGTATAACTATAATACTTTCAATGTATTTTGTCAGTACTGCCTGCTACTGTAGAAATTAGAACTGTGCAGATATCTGATTAGAGTACAGGGTGGTCTAAAACTATTGAACGCATTTCATATTTAAAAAAAGAAAAAGAAGAAGAAAATGAGGTACATGGGTGTTTACTGTTTTCTTGGAAAGGCAATTTAAAACAGTTCTACACAAAAAAATTTTAAACATTAAATAACTTCCACATGAGATCCATTTGTGGGACACAAAATATTCAGTCTATATTGAATTTAACATCAAGAGGTTTGCAGCATTTCTGCAGGTTATTCCTTCAATGACTTCAATGATTCATCATTTTAGGTCATCGATATTCAAAACTGGAGTTACATACTCTCAAAAGTAAAAGTAAAAAAGTGTAGTGTCAAAGGATCTTGGCGGCCATGGTATTGCGTCCAAAGATGGAAAGGTTTCCACCAAAGATGGACAGGGTTTTTTGGAAAGCTTTCCACCAATCCAAAGACCAGGAAATATTTTGTCCAGCTCCGCACGAACTACAGAACGCCAGTGTGGTGGAGCACCGTCTTGCTGAAAGATAAACTTGAATCTGATGACATTTAAATTGAGGGAAAGCATAGCATTCTAGCATGTTTGGATATATAATGCTTGTCATTGGCTGTTCAATGAAAAAAAAAAAAAAATGTTCAGAGATTTCATCTACAGTCAATGTGCACTAAACATTCACTTTCAGGCTACTGTGCATTTTTTCTCTTACTGCATGAAGAGATTCAGTTCCCCAGATCTGACAGTTATAACGGTTAACATAACCAAAAGTATGGAAAGTAAAACTGTTTTAAGTTATCTTTCCAAGAAAACAATAAATGTGTTCATACATTTTTATTTTTCAAACAAGAAATGCGTTCAATAATTTTGGACCACCTTGTACTTCCAAACTAGCATGGCATGCTAATATATATATATATATTAACAGTCTGACTATCCAGCACTCAGTTAATTAACAGGGTCAAATAACCAGAATATTTTAAAATTTCAGAAACTTCTCTCCCCTTCTTTTACAAAAAATTAAGCAGACACTTGTAAAACGAACATGAAGGCCATACAGGACTATGACTTTAAACAAACAAACAAAAAAAAAAAAAAAAAAACTGTCAGGAAATGGTATCATTTAGCACCAATAATAGATAAACATGATGTTGCAATACAATCATACCTTACTTTTATGTAATTTTGATTAATTTTCAATAAACTAATTTAGTTTTTTGTGAAAAAAGATATAAGTCAACTGCTATTTATCTATTTTTCTTTCTCATTTTAAAAAAAAAGTATTAAAATTTGGGAAATTCTCTAAACGAATCAGCATACAGTATTTACAAAATTACAAGCTCCTGACATCAAGAAAAGTGTGTGTTAATGGGTATGGTATACTTCACACGGAAATAGATAAATGATAGTGATGCAATGTAAAAAATGATGTCAAGCAATTTAAGTTTTTGTATATGCTACTTGATTGTCTAACTACATAAATAGTAATCAGTTATTGCAACTTCTGTCAGAATGACTGCTGCAAGCTTGGCCAAATCTCTACCAACTTTTACAGTCAAAAGGATTTTATAATTGGATAAAATATATTACTTTCATATGTTTAAGGCCTTGCAAAATACATCAGCATTAATGTATGAAGTATTTCTTTATTTTCTTTTTTTTTGGGGGGGGATCTTTTGCAATGTTAAACACAAGCTTTTGATATTTAAGTTAATAACAATTAAGATGGTTATTTATATAAGTTCAGACCAGAAATTTCTTCTTCCATTAATTTGGCTCTTCTGCCTTAAACTGTGCGTTTTATACACTCAACTGAAATTTTTACTTATCTGGCATTAAACTTTTTTCAAGCTTTCTGGAGAGTCAAATTTTTGCAGTAAATTAATGAAAAGACTGGTGCAGTGCCATTTGAGTGTACTAAGAAGAAATATCATGTTTAGTTTCAAATATTCAAAATGAAGTTTTAATGAGTTCAATGTCCCTTGACAGTATGTTATAAAAAATAAAAGAGTCTGAATCTATTAATGAAGGGAAAATACAAATTTAACAACTGACTTAAAACCTATATGCAGAAACCTCTACCTGAAGAAACTGGATTCATGGATTTCTAAATAAATGTAGAAAATGAGGTTCCCCGTTTACAAATAAAGCGAAGAACCACTAATTATTACCCACTGAACAAATGCTTTCATCAACTTAGTATTCATGCTAAATTTGTCTTAAATTATATTATATTCAACAATTAAATCATTCAAAAAATCATTAAAAAATATATAAATGCGTACAGTTCAAGGCATGCTAAACATCATATAAACATTTTAAGACTAATAAAAGAAGATTTTTAATTTTTAAAGTCCCAAATATTCAAATTTTAATTATTTTAAATTCAAAGAAGAATTGTTTAGATTTTTTCTCAAAATAAAACGAGCTTTAGAAGGTTAACAATACACCGCCCTCCAATTTTTTTTAAGATAAACTTTAAAATAAATATTGATTTTTTAAATCTATTCTACAACAAGTTCCATGGTTTGATTGCAAGTGAATAATGTTATAAGCATATTCCTGTTTACGGTGACTTATGAGCTAAAATGGTAATTTTCGTTTCTTTATTTTTCAATAACAGCAGATTATTATCTGATGTTAAGTTGAAATAAAGTGCTAAAGATTAAATATCATTGTTTAAAATCACTGGCTTATTTAAATCTTTTAAAAATATTATAAAGCACGATGAGAATCAATTTTAATATGCTAACAAAATAAATTGATACTAATAACTAAAAATATAAAAAATGTAATAAGAGAAACTTTATATAATTCTTTGTTAATGTTAATGGTCAAATCTTAAAAGATTAATGTTTACAGTGAAATATCTAAATTTTAAACCAACAAGTCAACTTAAAAGTAAATAAGTTCAATAAGCCATTATTCTTAATAATAAGAATAATCCATGTAGAAAGCACTATAATATAACTTACTTTTCTTTCTTTATTATTTTATTTTTAGGAAAATGTTCAAGATACGAAATACAAACACACGAGAAACATTGAAAAACAAAACATTCAAATACCTTGAATATTATATAGAGAAGATGATTTTGGCAATTCTGAAATAGGCACTGCTTCTTTTTGTCTAATACTTATCACATAATCAGACTTAATTTGAATATAGAATTTTAGAAGTCCAAGCCACAACTGACCAACAGATGATTCATTTCTTGATTCTTTATTAAATAGTGTTTTCTGTAAAAGTTGCAAAATTTAAAGCCAAGCTTCAAATATCTAAACAGAAGTACAATAACAAAAATATGAATTTATTAACAGAACAATTTTATAGTTCCACAAATGATACTGAAACTAAATATTATAACAGAATATACACACATTATACACGCTTTTGCAAAAAAAATCGAAGTATCAAGAAGGACTTTTGCAATTGTGATGAAATTTGTGATGCAAAAACATCTTAATTAAACATGCAGATGATCAAAGTTTCAAGGCAAATGAACAGGAATTGTGATCATAGCATTAATTTCTAGTGTGTAATTCGCAAAGCATAAAACCAGTAACAGAGGAAGAAAATTTGTCTGCCATTGTAATTCTGTAAAGAAGCAACAAAAGATGCCATTACGACGATATCGAGGACCTTAGATACAACTAAACGACTTCAAACGTGGTCGCATTGTAGGGTTGCTTGGGAGCTGGGTGGTCATACCGAGCAATAGGCTGCCACCTGCAGTGTACAAACACTGCTGCACAATGGTTTCTACAAGGAAATTGCCGACGAAATGAAGGCTCTGGAAGGCCAAGGAGCACAAACATGAGGCAAGATAGGACGACTGTTCGCCAGGCCCGAATTGCCCCCCAACGTTATCATTGTCGACTATTCAATGCACTATAGCCACGTCTATACCTCGAGTGGTACCGTCCACCATCTCACAGCGCTTGTCTGAGGTGAGGTTAATCTCACAGAGGCCTTTAAGGTGTTTGCCTTTGACCCACAACATCGGCAAAGTCGTTTGGAGTGGTGTCGCAGCCAATCATCATGACTGCCATCAGACTGGCATCGTATAGTGTTCAGCAATGAATCCCGCTTCACTCTTGAAGCAGATGACCACCATGCTCATGTCTGAAGAGGATGGGGTCAGAAATTCCAATCAGCCTTTGTTTTACAAAGGCATTCAGCCATAACCCCTGGTGTGATGGTGTGGGGTGCTATTTCTTATGACAGCAGGGCATCTTTAGTCATCTTCCGTACATCTTTAACAGCTCAACGATATGTTGATACAATCCTGCAGCCGGTTGCCTTACTCTTCATCGCACGTCATCCTGGGACCATTTTCCAATAAGATAATGCCAGGCCACATACCGCTTGCATATCTCTGGACTGTCTCCGTGCAGTTGATACTCTTCCTTGGCCAGGAAGGTCACCAGACCTTTCAATAATCGAGCATGTCTGGGACATATTAGGCCAACCAGATTCAGGCACTACAAAATATCCCAGATCTGGAACAGCAACTGGTGAATGTGTCGCAGGATGACATTAGGAACTTCTACTACACCTTGCCTCGATGAATTCAAGCATGCACTGCCAACCAGGGGCAGTAGGGCCAATTACTAATTTGAACACTCAATGGGTGATTGTGAGCCGCAAACAGGTACTATGACATTGATTTTTCAATCATTTTATTATCTGTGTATGAGCTATACACATATTCAATTTCATCAAAAACAACCACTTCCTTCGTGTTGTTTCGATTTTTTTGCAAAAGAATGTATATACCAATTGAGTTAAATTTAAAACTAAACCAGTAAAAGAAAAGCATATAAGAAAATAAGCAATACAGTCACACGTCGTTAATCTGGACACCCATAATCCTGACCTCAAAGCTACAAACTTTCTGCGCATGCGTCAATGCATAATGCATTAACACATGCGCGTAATACCTTTATTCATGCGCATGCGTATAATATGTTTACGCATGCATGTTTAATGTATAACGGACGGTATACCTAAGCTAAAATTATCTATTTCAGTTATTGTTGCCGATTGCGTTGTTCCTTAATCTTCGAATTGGATCCGGCTTATTATTTTTTGCAGACTGTTAGAGCAATTTTATAAAAGTAAGCTTGAACTTTCGATTACGTCAAATAGAATTTCCGATGCTGGAGCTGCCAAAGGATCTGCAAAGCGAAAGCATGTTTCGATGTCCATTAAACAAAAAGTGGAACTGCTGCAAAAAATGGATAAAGACATGAAGAAAGTGACAGAGAGGTGATTTGTTTCTCTAACCATTCCGAAATCTGTTTATCAATTTCACGCTGCTCTGCGGAAGGGGGGGGGAAACGCCGCAACACGCAATGAACTGGAAGTTGATCTGTCAGCACAATCCTCATCATCAGGGCAGATGTTTTTATTTTATTCGGCTTATAATTCCTCACTAAATGTAGTGTTTCATCTCGATGTACTCCGATATAATTTAAATCAATTTCGTTGTCATTATAAATATCACAAATACACATCAAATAGTTTTCTGGTTGCAATTTTCTAATTCCGACTATGCGTAATGTATGTTTTACGCAAGTTCGCGTTGATAGAAATGTTTAATAAAGTAAACAAATAAATATTCAGCTTTTTTTTTTTTTTTTTTTTGTGAATTTTGATACCCTTTAGATCATAATTGCTCTTTATTTCATAAATTACGGTTTCATATTTTTAATTTTATAATTTCTGCATGCCATCTTACCAGATTTGAACTGATGATCTATAATCCGGAAAAACCGATCATCTGGAATCGACGAGTCCGGATTAAAAACTTTTGACTGTATATTTATTGACTTTGAGAATCTATACACTTCTATATCATTTCTTCATGACAGTCTTTTAGAACTTCCAAAATTTTTTGATTTTTTTGATATTTAGATTGTAACAGCTGGAAAAAATATCTGAATCACTAGTTCTTTCATAATTATATTAAATTTCAAGATACTTTATTTCTAGAAGTACGAGATATCCCTATGTGCATAAATTCCTCATCTCAATACCGCAACTGTATTTATTTTCTAAAGAATTTTAATTTCTTTGTTTACTACCAAACAATGATTTATAAAAATTTGCCTTCACCTACAGATATATTGATGATATTATAATCTTTAACAATTTTAATCTCACTCAAAGCAGTCATATTTACCCTGAATGCCTGAAATTAAACAAGACCAACTCAGATCAATTAGAAGTAAATTATCTAGACCTATGCATTGTTAATCTAAAAGAATTAAGGCTTTATGACAAAAGAAGAGGTTTTCACTTTACTACTATAAAACTTACTCACTGGTTTTCTAACATTTTCAAAAAAGTTTTAAGTAATACTCTTAATAATCAAATAAAACATACTAAGAATATTCATACTGATGGTAGAACAGCAACAGAAAGAAATTTTAATGCTTATAAGATTAAAAATAATCTAGCTCCATTAACTTTTATTAATTTACATTTACAAAAAGTGGGAATACTCTACGGTGCTACTTTGGTAGACGGTTGCACGGATTTTTGGCGATTTACTATGGCGCAGTTTTTACAAACGTGAGCCAGCTTGAAAAATACTGTTTTTACGCATAGTAAAGTATTCGAAACTTAAAAAAAAAATAAATATCGTTAAAAGTAATCGATTAGTTTTTTGTTGAAAATGTCGTTTTTTAAGATGGCAGGCAAGTGTAAATAAATACATTTACTATGAGTATAAAATACTAAAGTAAGGTTATTAGTATTACTTTCATACAGCAAAGAAGAGAATAAAAATACCGCTATAAAAACATTTGGCCAACGTTTAATTATATTAAAATATTATTGAAATTGAATATTGAATTAAAAACCATCATACCAGCATTTAAAAGAATTAGAATATTATTAAATTCAAATACTTAAAATACGTTATATAGAATATAATTAACTTAAAACATATGGACAATAATATCTCAGCAATTTACTGAAAATAATGTATTATTTTTTAACAAAAATTGAAGTATACAATTATAAAATAAAAGAAAAATATGTACTTACATTTTTTTTTGAGTATTTAACCTGTTTTTATTGATAAGTACCACAAAAAATCAGAATCATAACTTAGATAACATCTTTGAAAGGAATTCGAAGATATGAATTAAATTTTAAAATGGCGCGGGAAATGCAAAATTGTCAGTCGTAACCAATCAGGGAGCTGATTACAGCTCGTTAATGCACAAATATTCTATAACCAATCAGAGAGCTTATTACAATCACGGCTAGAATTAAAATTATTTAAAAATTCATACATAATAAAATCATTTTTTTAAATGCAAAATTAATTGTATTTTAATATTTAACAGCCATAAATAATTTTAAAACATTAGAGATTAAATTTATACATATTAAAACGAATTACTTTTAAAGTAAGGTGACATCTCATTGATTACACATCATCCACAACATAAAATTCATAAAATATGATAAACAATAAAATTTTTATTTCAATAAAAATGCAAAATTAAATGATTTTTAATATTTAAAAGCCATAAATAATATTTTTAACACGGAATTTATGCACAATAAAACGCATTATTTTTTAAATAAAATGACAACAAAGTATCGGTTACCATAAATAACTTATCCAGCAATGGGTTTACCATAAGTTGTATTACTCGCCAAAGGAAAATCGCCAAGAAATCGCCAAAATCCATGCAACCGTCTACCAAAGTAGCACCTACTCTACGACTCATGAAGTTTTATTTAAGGATATGAAGGCCATTCTTAAATCTTTATTTTTAGGAGGAATGGTATGGATGTGCGAGAAAGAATTCCCTAGTTTATAAATGTATATAGTATTACTTTTGTAAAAGTTGTATGATTTTTTGTTACATATATATTTTTTCCTTCACTAAAAATATGCAATATTTAATTTCCTGAGTCGCTATTGTTTGCCAATTAGTGTGAAGTTTTTTCCTTTTATAACATTTGCTACTTAATTTTCATTTTTCATTGCTTTTTTAAAATTCCGATTTTTTGTGCCAGTACTACATGGTGAGGATAAAAATTTGATAATAGCAACCCAGACTGCACATTCCTTTTTTCCCTCGAAAAAATTCCAGATTCTAACTGTTGTTATTTTACCAGAGGTTCAACGAAATGCAAGTAATTATATTTTGGCTCTGTACTCACTGTTATAATTATTCCTTTCGTTAATATACATAATGCAAGTTTTAAATTTATTATCATAATAGATTAAAAAAATTAAGGATTATTTTATATATTTTTAAATATTTATTTGAAATTTTGCTTCCATTCACATGTATAGGTCTGATATTACAGAATGCAATTTTTTTTGGGTGGGTTAAATTTGTTCTGTAGATGAGTAGCTTTCAATTTTCAGGGGCACTGAAAATATTCATACTATTAATTCAGTGCCTTAGATAATTTTGAGCTTACAGAAACAGAATAAATCAGCCTGGAAAAAGTGCATTCTCATAAGAAGGCTTTACTTCCTCTTAATAATTAGAGAGTCTGAAGATTTTCACTTTTAATCGTTACCACTGCTGTATATGATGTTGCAAATATTATTTTGACTCTACTTTTAGGTTTAATTTAAAAAAATAATTAAAAAAAGTTCCAGTTAATTCCATTTATAATTTGCAATACTATTAATTTTCTCAATGAATAACATATTGTTTATTTTCTTATATGTTTTCCTTTCGGCCATTTAGTTTTAATTTTAACTTAATATTTACATTATATCTTAGCAGTATTATGAGTAGGAAATATTTCTTAAGTCCTTATATATTACATATATTTCTCCAATTTAAGTATTTAAGTCACAGCTACATAACTCAGCAGTAGTACAGTGTTTGAATTAAAACAAATGATCAAAAACTGGGATAAAAAAGTATTTTATTCCCAAATAGCAATACAAAGAATGTGAAAATCAGTAGCTGGTGTAGCCATCCCTGGCAGCTATACATGCAGATACTCTGTTGGGCATGGAATCTGTAAGTTATGATTGTCCCTCTGAGGTAGACTGCGCCACAAATGGAGGAACTGATCAACGAGTTCAGAAGTATTTGTACATGGCTGAATTTGTCTGTCCAACATGTCCCAAATATGTTCAAGAGGAGACAGGTCTGAAGACCTGGTAGGCCAATCAAGGACATTACCACTTCAAAGACAACATGGTTCAGCGTTGTTGTGCTTGAAAACAGAACCTGGAAGACCTGCAAGCATGAGCATCACAATTGGCTGCAAAATGTCATCAACAAAACTTGGATTAAGCAGTCAGTGTACCTCGGAGCTTGATTAATGGTAAATGGCACTCCCTTAGACTGCCCAGGTCCCTAGACTTCTGTGTTCTGTCTGTGTGCTGCTAGGTAACATATGGTACACTGAACTGCACATCTCTCCATCTCCAGACATGTATGTGGAGGTCATCAGCACTTAAAGGAAAGCATGATTTGTCATTGAATATCACATTTCTTCAGTCAGACACTGTCTAGATTGAGAGAGAGCAGTGCCATGCAAGATGACACTGCTTATGATGGAGTATTATTAGCAAAAGTCTTAATGGACATCAAAATCTGAGCCCAGCATCACCTAGTTTTCTGCAAATCGTATCCCTGGATATCCTGGGATCACTGCAAGCTGGAAAATGGCATTAATTGATGATAGCATAACTCTTGTTGCGGACATGGCAGCTCTTCTAATTGAGCGATCTTCTAGCTCAGAGGTGGTGAATGTGTGGCCTCCGTGAGTTTCTTGTGCGACCTCTAGCTCTTGTATTAACTGATATTTAATTATACAGATTACTACAATTCGATAATTAATGTTATACCTCGTACTTAGAGATTCCGAACTAAGAGAAAGATCTTTATTTTCTTTCAAGGACTTAACTACTTATTGTAAATTCGTTAGAAGGGCTTTTACAGCCACATACTTTACCGACCATCTCGTCTAACTGCTTCGTTTTAAGTTGGTTTTTGTACATTTTTTCATAATATCCCATCAAATAGTGGATCCATCAAAAAAGCTAAATATCTTCTGGATAATTCGAAATACGTTAAGTGTTTTGGGGTACGATGAGGCAGAATGCACACCAACAGGATTCAAAGAATGAGCCGAATATTTCACAAATTCGGCCAGCTTATTCATTTCTGTAGTCCTGGCTTGTACTCCTTTATCAGTACCAGCCATATTAGATCTATTATTGTAAGACTGACCACGACCTTGTCCAATATTCAAACCATCAAGTGTGAGTTTTTCCACAAACCATTTTAAGAAATACATTTTCATGTCTTTCCACCAACTTCTATGAAATCACTAAAGCTTTCCTTTATTTCACACACATCACCACATATTTTTACGTATCGAAGCACCTGGCTCATTTCTTCTGTATGTAACACATTTGGAGTGACATTATTGTATAATATTTGGCTTCTTTGATGTCGTTTAAAATGCTATTCCGAACAGTTTTTGCCATTATATCAATAATTTCATTTTGAATTGTCTTTGATAAATATGACACTAGTCCCCTTTTTTAGGTGTTCTAACTGGTACTTAAGAGCAGGGCCGTTCCTAGCAGGGGTGCAGCATGTAAAAGTATGCAGGGAGCGAAAATCAGGGGCGGCCAGACTCTTGCAATACCACTCCTAAATATTTAAAATTCATTGTAAGAACTTGTCATATGTACGTACTTTTTATACAATTTGTCATATGTAAGTACTTAGTGATTATGAAATATAAATTTTATTAGTCATTGAGCTTTTTTTTTAAATTTGGGGATGACAATCTTAAGAAAGTAAATGGGCAGCCAATGGTTGGAAACAGCCCTGCTTAAGAGTTGAGTTATGTTTGGCTAGCAGAGTCATTAAATTAGACTGCTAGGGATTTCATTAGACCCACGGAAAGAAAGAAAATTTGTTCAAAGACACAATACAGCATCCATAACTATGCATAGGATATCTCTCCATTTTTCTTCCTCCTCCTCAAGCTTTATCTTTAGCCTGAAAATTATTTTCCTCTGCTTTTATAGAATGGTTGGTTTCTGTTAATGCATTATTTACGCGATCAAGATTTAAGAATCCACTTGACTAATCAGACGAAGATATTAATAGACGAAAATTCCTGAATAAATATTATTTCCAAAGACAATCCAAAGAATATTTATTTTGGTTCAAAAGAGAGCAAAAGTTAGCAATGAATATTGTCAAAATGTGAGAAAAACTGGCAAGCTCCATGTTTCAGAGGTTTGATTATACTTCCTTTTCCAGTAAACACTTTTTTTTTATTAGTTGCCAAAAAATAAGGTAAAGTCAAACCTTCGATATGCATTTCTCCGGTTTCATTTACATTACCTCGGTTTTTATAGCTTGTTTAAGAGGGTGCTGACAAGGGCAGCTAACATTGTCAGTGACAGAGTCCCTCTATAGTCCTCTCTCTGATCTTATCTTTAGAGTCATATTCGGCTGTACTTATTAGATTTCTTTTATTTGTTTGTTCCCTTAAAACATTTCTTAGTAATTAATTATAAATATTCTTAGAAGAGGTTTTTAAACCTGTCTTTAAAACTATTAATGTTGTATCAAAATTAGACAACATTCCAAATACGATTAAGCAACATGCTCGACTTTGCCGCCCGGGGCACAGAACCTGGTTTGCCCCCCTAGATCTAGGACTGAGTTCCTTTCTTAACAATAAGGAACAGTAAAGTTTACATTTAAATACATTACATAAAGTATTGTTACAGATTACTATTTAATCTTGCATGTTTATTCCAAACACTGCAGCACTTCCATTTGATAAATGCAAAGGATGACTTTTATTTTTTTTTGCCACTATGCAGAAAACATTGCTGAAGACACATTTCAATGCTGAAAACTTGTTTAAGAAATCTAGAAATGACAGTAGCACAAACGTATTCATTATTCATTCTTGGAGAAACTGACCAAAAATATGCCAATATTGAGAGAAGACAAAAAACTACATTTTCAAAAATAAAACATTTATTTTAAAAGCTTGGAAGGCATCAGTGGTACTCGGAAGTCACATTGTAAACTAAACTAATAATCTTAGTACACAGAAGAGAAGAGCCCTCTAGCAGCACTACAGATTAATAATTTGGGGATTTTATCAACATTAGTATTAAAGACATGGAGTAAAGCCTTGCCTCTAAGAACTTTCAATACATCCCATTCCTTTGTTACAAATTAAAAATTATCATTAATTTCTTTACAAACTGTACATCAGATCAACACCATGTTCACGCCATTATAGCATTAGGGTTCACAGCCATAGTTACTACTTTTAATATATAATTCAAATTTATATTAACAGTTTTACTTACCATTAAACTTCCTCTTGCAATATTTACTACAATGCCATTCAGAAAGGAATATCTAAAAACACAGCTGCCACTTCAGATGTCAGAAACACTTCACTTCTATCAACCAAGATATTTCCCTCCCCAAATCATGTTGATTGCTGCTTTTTAACAATGACATTTACATTTAAAACTTTTTAAAATTTTTTATTTATCTTTTCGCCTCTATTAACATTTTTTAATATTATTTGTCTCATACTGTAGAGTCTCATTAATATTTCTCACTTACTCTGCTTTATAAGTACATTTTCCTTTGACACTTTTCTTTTATAAGATATTTCGCTTCAAAACTTTGAACACTCATGTAAAATATTTTATATTATTCTACACTGTTTGACTATATGTAAATCTAGAATATTTATATATTATATTATCTAGTCAAACATAAAAGTGATTTAATAAGGCCCATTAGTATGATTTAAAAACTGGAGTAAACACTTTTCTCCTTATTATGAGCTTAATATTTTAAAAGCTCTTAAAATTTTCACTTGAAATAACAACAGATGTTGAAATTCACAAATCAGTACACTATTAACTTCAATTAAAGATTGACTAAAACAAGTTTCTCTTTTAAATTAACTTACCAATGTTTGGGTATCTTTGCATAACCAATCATTTTTCTCAGCAATTTCAGTGGGTATATCCAAACTCTCTTCAAAGACCTACAAAGAGAAAAACAGATGAGATAAATAAAAATAAACACAGAAAAATATATTTATTATTCATTATAAATGTCTTTAATACAAAAAATTTCTCCACATCTTCTACTACCTAATTGATATTTTTAGTGATCTTCTAATCACAATCCACTCACCATTGCAAAATGTTAACTTCTCCAGTTAAGCACTCCTCTTGTATTAAATTACTGCAAGGAACTAAATTATATCAACACAATTTAGTCAGCAGGATGCCTCAAGTGCGGAATGGAAAATTTCGTTGGCCATCTTTTATATATTTAGAAGAAAAAAAAAATGTGTTAAAGAAATAAATCTTATTTCCATGCTACAAACCACAAGATATTTACACGGCTGTGTTATTCCGTGTACGAATAATTCTAAAACAAGTGTGTTACGAGTTTTAATTTCAACCTGACAGCAGTGTCTGCCTAGTTAAATATACCATCTCTTTAAAACATTGATTGTGTAATAGCATTCAACAGGGGAAAAAATGAAAATGCAATCTAGTAACATCTATTAAAAAGTAACATAGTATTTATTTATAATCGAATGATTTAAAATGTGCTATGTTCGAAATTATTCCAATGCTTTGAAGGTCAAAACTACGTCCAGTAGATGTGGAAAAAAAAATTTGCTTCTGCTTTTCCCAGTCACAATAATATTATCAAAGATTTATTCATTAACTGGCCCTATTCTGAAATTTTAACATGCTATTTTATTACTTAGTTATTTAAAAAAAAAAAAAAAAACTGTAGCACTGTTTGATGAAAATATAGAATTAAAGATAAATTTTTTCATAATTATGTGTGGTGAAATTGAATAATGAATTTTAAGATATTTAAACTATTTCTAGAGAAGGATATTAACATAATTATATTTTTTATTTATGTTGAAAATTTTGAACTGTTGATAAGAATTTTTAACTGAATGTGATAAATTTGAAAAATTAGTATAGAATATGATAAACAAATAGTGTTTTTGAGTATTGCTATAAAATATGAAATGTTTTGATATAGAATAGGGTAATAACATATAAAATATGAGTCACTAAAGAAACTGAATAACTACCATAAGTAGTATGGAATTATGTTAACTAACTTACACTAAATAAGCTCGAAACTGAATAACTACCATAAGTAGTATGGAATTATGTTAACTAATTTTAAAACTGATGGATGATTACATGTCCAGATAAACTTTAACGGCTCACAATTTTTTGGGGGGATATATAATTATTATTTTGATTAATATTATGGAGTATGATTAAAAATTATTTTGTAGAATGTTATATTGCAGTTCAAAAAGACCAGTTGCCTTTAAACAAGGAACACAGGCTTTTATAAGTAATTGTCACAGGCGTCCCTTAACCACTGGGAAAATTCATACACTTATTTGTTAATATTAATTTGCCCATTAGATGGAAATGTTTGTATTAAGAGAAAGCTGAGGGCTTTTCCAGTTTGTAAAAATGAGTAAATTAGAAATGTCAAATAGAATGCATAATTTTTGTAATATTATTTCAACTGATGTTTCGAATGAAAAAATAATTGCATTACAATACTCTTAAATTCCTTGCGATTTTGTAATGTAATTAATTGATGTGCTTAAAATTTTTATATTTGAAAAGTTTTAAAAGCCTTTCCTAAACAGTTTGTACAAAACCATGTGGTCCAAAAATCATGTGTGTGGTAGGGCAATGCAGTGTTCTGTTATTCGTCTTAGCTTGAATTTTAATTTTTATTCATTATAATTTTATTATTATTACAAGTAGTGCTGGATAGAATTTTATGGCCATACATAGTAAAAAAAACTTTGATTATATATATATGTATATACGGTACAAAGTCTGTAATCCGGACTCGTCGGGACTTCGGCGATTCCAGATTAGGGTTTTTTCCGGATTATAGATCATCAATTTAAATCTGGTAAGATAGTATGCAGAAATTATAGAATTAAAAATATGAAACCGTAATTTATGAAATAAAAAGCAATTATGATCTAAAGGGTATCAAAATTTACAAAAAAAAAAAAAAAAAAAAACTTAATATTTATTTGTTTACTTTATTAAACATTTCTTTCAATGTAAGTTGTTTAACCTTCTAGCACGCGCGCTTAACAATTTTACATGAGCACGCATGCATTGTATTTTTTACATCTGTTATTTTACTGTTTTTGGCACGAAAAACGACAAAAATGAGTGAATATTGATAATAAATTTGTTAAGAAATAAAATATTAATCGTATTATTGCAAAATACAAATGATATCACATTCAAATATAAGTAAATTATTTTCAAGTTCTTATGTTAGTGAGATGGAAATGCAATAATTAATAATTATACTTAAAAATTGAAGCTAATTTTAATATTCATTAAAGGCAAGTATAGACAAATAAAAAAGGAAAACACCTTGCATGGTTCGTACACATTTCTGCACACGGAAATTAAACACTTTTAAGGACTTTTAAGGACCATTTATGAAAAAAATTAAGGACCTACGAGCAAATGGGAACTAAATAAATTCAATCAAAAATATTACTTTATGCCTGAATTTCACTTTTGTAATACCATCCTAAAAATAAAATAGATCCCTAAGTAGTATGCATTATTACTAAACATGAATTAATCAACATAATTATTAATAAATTTGAGAATAAAATTAACTTCATCCAGTTTATTAAATAGCATTAAATATTTCACACTTATAATAGGTTGGATATATTTGAAAGAAGATAAGTGACATTTACGTTTTACTAATAGTTAGCTTTATGTTATTTTTTTTTATGTCTCATTTTGCCACATACTTGGTCAGTCTAGAGTAGAGGTTCTCAACCAGTGGTATCCAAGAAAAAATAGGTGGTACACAAAGAAGCAAATTATTTTTAACTATTTATTTCAAAAATTAAAACCCCAACATCCTGATGATCCAGTTTTTTCTCTAACACTCGTAAATTTATGCGATCCGAGCTTTGTTCAAGAGTGGTGGTGGTACTAAAGGTTGTTTTTGTTTAGATGGTACACGTTAGTCAAAAGGTTGAGAACCGCTGGTCTAGAGGTTTAGTAAATAGCAGGTAGATTTTATGTCAAACAGCATTGGTTAAAATGAGAAGATCATAATCAGCACGATTCATAACCAAAGACTGGGAATGCTGTACCACCGCTGCTGCTTGTCTAGAGAGAGACCTGCTAATTAGAAAAAACCTGAAAGGCCTGATGTAGGCATGGTTGGCAAGTGTTGAAAGTTAGTCAGGCTCTGTTTGATGCAGTTAGTGCCGTAGCTTTGTGTAGAGTTCCAGGGGTTGCAACCCAGTTAATATACTTTCAGGTTTCAATAGGCCATTAAAGTAACCAGAGGTGATAAGTTGTTCTGTATTATTTAAAGTCTCACTAGATGCAAAGTATAAGTTTTACTTGAATTTCTACATTTTTGTGTTTTATTTTGTGACCACAGTGAGTATTAATGAAAGGCAATAACTTGCTTTAATATGTAGAGATAATTTTTAAGGATAAGCAGTTAGTTATAAATAATTAAATTAGGTAAATAGGTAACCTTAGTCATTATGCATTTACACGACCACTATTAAATTGTATTTTTTAAAAATATTTGTTAAAAAAGCCCTATTAAAATTGCACAGTTTAAAATACATATAATTTATGACACTGATTCTTAAACGATATTAAATTAATTACACATTAAAAGCTACAAAACATTAATGTTTTGTAACAACACCACTCAACAAAATGTTTATCTGTCATTTTAATTTGAATCCTTCCCAAACATTTTGGATACTTTATATTAAGCCTTTTCTCTAACAATGAGAGATTTGTCTCAATATGCAAACCAATGCTCTCACTAGTTTCTGCATGCTTATCTCCCAACTTATCAACCTCTTCACAATGTACCTATGAGGGTTTACTTAATCTGGTAAAAGTTAAATAGTCTCAAACCCCAGACAGACGTAAAGCAAATTATCGCTATGCCTGAAAGTAATTACAATATCTTTCAAAGCTTTAAATAAGCCTCTTATTTAAAAAGAAATTAGAACATAAAGGCATGTTCTAATGCTAACAAAATCAATTACAGCTCACGGTGACGTAATTAAATAAGAGCAGTCAAATTCAAAATCAAAATGTGGACTAGTGGTCAAAGATTATCCAATTTAATCATAAACAATAAACAAGGTTGAAATCATACACAATTGGATAATTTACATAATAATACCTACACATATCTTTGAAAAATAATTTTCTTTATGTATTCAGTTTCTTTCTTCAGCACGTTTCATTTTAGAATTTTTGGATTTAATTAAGGATTTCTGTTATTCTAAAAAACACTATATGCATTTAGAATGTATAGAGAAAGTTGCTAATTTTATTTCTTTAGTAATATGAGCATTCAGAAGAAATATGAAATATATATGGCAAAATCCGGTTACAGAGCTGGTGTGGCAGAATTTTTAGAACTTAGAGACACACCGAACAACAAAATTTAGAAATGGTAAAACTTTTAGAATTCAGAGTAGGCATTAGAAACAGAATTTAGAAAGGCACTAGGAAACAGAATTTAGGATCCACAGAGTACCAGGTCTGTGTATGATGCATTAAGAGATATTAGATGAATATTTTAAATTATAAGTTTTCAGTTTCTTTATTACTAAAAAAAATCCCTTTCTATAATGCCTGCCCAAGTGATAAGATTAGATTTTGATATTTTCCCTGTTTGTGTTTAGTGAAAAGCAGAGAAAATAAAGGGAAGATAAACATGTTAAGAAAAAGATTCTAGTAATAGGAGTAAAACATTCAAATATTATGTTTTCATTGTTCTTCCAGACATTCTCCAAAAAGTAAGAAATTCATCGCAAACTTTCTGTAAAATACATTCATTACATGTTGAACATTTTTCATTTTGTCACATATTTCTCAAATTTTCCTGAATCGTGAGTCTATAAATCTTGCCTTCAAATCCTTCTCAACTTTCCAAGCTGCA